TTGTACAGAGGTAATTCATGGTCACTCTGATGCTAAACACTGTGACACTGATGTGACAAATGCAATAACGGTTACCCATGGTGGACAGTATTTGGTGGAACTCCCAGATTAAAACAAGCTTGGGAGAAGAAGTGGCATTAACAAAGAACTTCCAGAAATACAAACTGAGTTTAAAAGAGGTTGTGGCACTAGGAACATCTTTGCCAACATCAGATGGTTCCTTCCCAAAGGCAAAGAGTACCAGAGAAATGTCTATCTGTGTTTTATTGACTATGCAAAGGCTTTTGACTGCATGGATCACAACAAGTTGTGGCTAGCCTTGAGAAGAATGAGAATCCCAGAATACCTGATTGTGTTCATGTGAAACCTATACTTATATGGACCAGGAAGTAGTCGCCAGAACAGAGCAGGAAAACACTACATGGTTCAAAATCAGACAAGGAGTACATTAGGGATGTTTTCTGTCTTCATGCCTTTTCAATCTGTATGCAGAACAGATCATTCAAGAGGCTGGACTTTATAAGGAGGACTTTGGCATCGGGATTGGAGGGAAGACACATCAGCAACCTGCATTATGCAGAAGACACACCTTACTTGATGAAACTAAGGAGGGTGTGAAGTATTTGCTGCAGAGGGTCAAGGACTATAGTTTGCAATTGAAGCTGAACACCAAGAAAAGAAGATTCTCACCACTGGGCCAATTGGCAGCATCATGATAGATGGAGAAGAGAGTGATGTTGTTAACAATTTTAGCTTGCTTGGTTCCATAATCAACACTCTTGACACCAACAGTCAGGGAATCTAAAGACAAATTGCATTAGGGAAATCTCCCATCAGGGACCTCTCCAGAGTGCTGAAGAGCAAGGATTTCAGTCTATAGGCTAAGGTGCACCTGATCCAGGCCATTGGACAAAGGTGACAGAAGAAGAATTGATGCCTTTGAGTTGTGGTGGTGAAGAAGAGTATTGAACATAGCATGGACTGCCAAGAGAACTAACAGGTCTGTTCTGGAGAAAGTAATACCAAGCTGCTCTTTGGAGGCAAGCATTTTGAGACTCCATCTCACATACTTTAGGCAGGTAGCCAGCAGGGGCAAGTCTTTGGAGAAGGATATCATGTTTGGAAGGGCCAAGGAACAGAGCAGGAGAGGAATACCCCATATGAGATGAACTGATGCAGTAACTGGGGTAATGAGGGTAGGTGTCTCTCAGAGACAGTGAGATTGGCTCCAGACAGAGCAGTGTTATAAATAGAGCTATTGTGCATAGATATATAGATAGAGCTATTGTGCATAGGGTCGCTATGAGTCTTAGTCAACTAACAGCACATAAAACCAAGGTGACTTCATTTCATGGTGACATTATGCATAATAGGATGAAACTCTGACTGATCCTGAGCCATTCTCATAACCTCTGCTGTGTTGCCATCACTGTGTCAGTTCGTCTTGCTGGGAATCTTCCTCTTCTTGATTGACCTTCTACTTTCCAAGCATGATGCCTTGGGTTTCTTCCACAATTTAAAAGTCTCTCATAATGAAGGTTATGTATTGACCCTGTTTGAACATAGTGTGTGGTAAGTTAGGCCTTGCTTGCCTCAAAAGATGCAGAATGGGGAAGGCCAAAGACACACTGTTTCTCAAGAGATTTGAGTCTCTTAACAACAACAGTATAGAGAGAGCTCTGTTGGCCTAGGGAAAAAGCAAGTGAGGCTACCAAGCCCAAGGTGAGTGATTTTAATCTGTGGCCCTCAGGCCTAGTTTTAATTGTTTTTGGTGAAACATTCTTCTAAGCGGTATAGCACTGGTCTGTCCATTTGCTGTACAGAGGTAACTCGTGGCTGTTGTGATGTTAAACACTGTGACATTGATGTGTCAAATGCTACAATGGCTACCCATGGTAGACAGTGTTTGGTGAAGCTCACCCAATAAAACAAGCTTGGAAGCAGGAGTGGCATCCACTTCTGAAATAGCTTGCCTCCAGAAACTCTATGAACTTTGAGAAACGATGAAAGTTATATAAGGGTTCAAGTCTTTCATTCATAAGGTTGCTATGATTTGTCTACAACTCAACAGCACTTAACAACAACTTAAGTCTGAAACATTACTGACTTTGTAACTTTATAAACTCACTTAATCTCTTGATCTTAGTTTTAAGTTATTTTTAGAGTTTCTGTAAAGTTTAAACGAAATGACATATGTATTCATTTCATAAACTGTTATTATTAGATGCCATTGAGCTGACCACAACTCATAGTGACCATATGAACAACGGATTAGAACCTTGCCCTATTTTGTGCTATCCACACATTCTCTGACATGCTCTACTCTATAGTTACAGTATCTGTGTCTATCTGTCTTATTGTGGGTCTTCTCTATCTCTGACCCTCAAACTCTCCCATCATGTCTTTTTCCATAAACTAGGTTGTTGTAGGTCTTTATTGTGGTAGTTGTTGTAGTATGAAAGAATGAGGCAGCTCTGGTGGCCTAGTGAATAAGGAATTCACTGCCAGCCCAAAAGATAGGTAGTTTGGATCCACCAGCTTTTCTGTGGGAGAGAGAATTTCCCACACAGTTTATAGCCTCTGAAAATCTCCCAGAGGTTCAGCTGTTAGTTGATTCCAACTTGATGACAATAAGTTGAGATGAGTTGAGTTGATGGAAAAGTGACGAATTATCTCTGGACAATAACTTGTTTTATTGATGCAGTGACAATAACACTGCACCATAATTAGATGTTAGATCTACCATAAACCAAAGAGGCACACCTATGAGAACGGAGAGTTGGGGAAAAAATCATTAGGAATGCAGTAAAATAAAAATACTGACTTTGTCAAGTCAGTTTTGATTTACAATGACCTATATCAAGAAAGGTATTCCCTTTAAGGAGAGGAGAAGCACATCTTTCTCCCACAAGCAACTATTCAATTCCAACCACCTTTTCAGTTTATAGCCCAGTGCATAGGATAACTATATGGGTGTCAATATGACTTGGTTAGTGTCCTCTTAATCACATAGTCATGGACAGGGTGACAAAAAGAGTTGCTTTTTCAAAGCAAAAGTTTAAAAGGACAATGAAACTAACATTCTGTAATAAGCAGCTGAGATTGCAAACCAAGGACTATATTTGTACCAATTGAAGAAAGACTCTTACCCAGAGACTAGCCTTATTAGACGGAAGCTGAGATTTCATAAAATTGTCAGTTTTACTTACCTGCTTTGAATTTATATTTTATGAATGTCAACTAATTGAATTGTTTGCATTTTGGAACTTGGATTTCTCAACTGAAGGGTCTACGTGACAAGCCTCAGTAAATTCTTTGAGTGTTTTCTGTTTTGTAGGTTTTCTTTTGTTTCAAGGAACAGAGATTCCCTCAGGAAAACTTATCAAAGGGAGTGTATATTGTTGTGAGGATACATATAGTAAAATAATGAGACTTGCAATTCCAAGAAGAGCAGTCACAAAGTAGTAGATCTGGGATCAGAGCCTTTATCATTCTTAGGTGTTCACTCCAAGGACTGGTACCTCCTAGCCCATGACCGAAGTATGTGAGACGAAGCTTCAAAATCCTAGCCTCCAAGGAGAAACTTGGTTCCATCCTCTCCAAGACAGATCTGCTTGTTTCCTAGGCAGTCCATGGTATGTTCAAGACTCTTCTCCAGCATCCCAACTCAAAGGTATCAATTCTTCTGTCATCCTTAGTCATCATCCAGCTCTCTGATACATAGCAAGTAATTGTGAAGACCATGGCCTGAATAAGGCACATTTTAGTCTTTACATTGACATCGTTGCTTCTCAGTACCCTGGAGAGGTCCCTAACAGAAGATTTTCCCTAGTGCAATTCATCTTTTGGTTTCCTGGATGTTGGTGCCAAGAGTGTTGATTGTGGAACAGAGCAAGCTGTAATTGTTAAAAATCTCAAACTCCTCTCCATCTATAATGTTGCTGCCTCTTCCAGCTCTCTGATTGATAGCAAGTAATTGTGAAGAACTTGGCCTGGATCAGGCACACCTTAGTCTCTAGACTGACATCATTGCTCCTCAGCACTTTGCAGAGATCCCTGACAGCAGACTTCTCCAATAGAAATGATACATTAAAATTACCTCAAACTCTATATTTCTCCTTAACTTAAATGAAGTCAGTAAACAGAAAGATCTATGTTGAACTGATGTAGACATTTCTCCTAGAAGAAAATCTGAAGGAAACAAGCATCAGAACAGTGTGTCTCATTGATGACAGTGTGACTCATTGATGACAGTGTGAATGAGTGAGTTCATTGATGTGAAAAATAAAGAGGGTTAGTAGAAAGGGAAAACAAGGCAAGTTATCTCTTAATGTCTAGGGTCTAGTGGAAAGACAGTTGTCCTGCCAACCCAGAGGCAGCCAATTCAAATCCACCAGAGGTTCCTTGAGAGAAAGTACAATTTCCTCCTTTGTGATTCACAGCCTTTGAAAACCCACTGGCTGCTAATTTAACAGTCAGTTCTGTCTCATTGGAAGTTAGTTTGAGAGGTTTTTTTTTCCTTGGGGTGGTTGGGGTTTGGTTTTATTTTGTTTTAATACCCAAAAGCATGGATGTTCTGGAAGAATCTCTTTCAAATTGTTATCAGGAAAGAGCAAGGATAAAATTAGGGGAAAGGGAGTTCATAGAGCTGAGAAATGAAGAGACGCTCTTAGTTTTCATTCTGCAAGCTTTCTGCTTGTTTGATTTTTTTAACAATAAGAAATATGCATTTATCATTTATATCATTTTAGAACTATAATGAGGAAAAGAATGTGATTAAAATATTATTTTGTCTCAGTATTAAATTGGACTTAGAGGGTTTTCCCCCCTTTAGTTTGTCCACCTCATAAAGTATATTGCTTTTCCCTTTTATAGGTTTCTCACCATTGTTGTTTCTAATAAAAATATATTCAAAGATGAAGCTTCATTCTCAGATTGCTTTCTTTCTCTGCCAGGCTCTATTCTGTCTGGCTAATGACGTTCTCTGGATATTCCTTCAGGCTTCCTTAAAAGTGTCCATCCAAGCGAAGGACTGTGCGACTGCAGCAGCTATTGTGTTCCTAATGGACCGATTCCTGTATGGACTGGATGTCTCCAGCAACCTCCTACAAGTTGCCAAAGGTCTCCACAAGCTGCAGCCAGCAACACCAATTGCACCGCAGGTGGTTATTCGCCAAGCCCGAGTCTCAGTCAACTCAGGTAGGCTCACTCCTCCTAGCTCCCAGCTGGTCCTAATGTCTTGTCATCAGCTCCACTTCCCATCAGAGCCGCTTGACTTCTGAGGGAAGAACTCACCACATCCCCAAGGGCCTGGTGTGCCATCTTTTCAGTCAGCTCTCCCTCCCTCCCCCACCCCTGCTACATACCCTTCCACCCGCCTTTTTGCCAGTACAAAGGCCCTGGTATAAAGGGTGTCAGAGCCAAAAGCAGTAGAGAAAATTGTGAAAGGGTGTGGAAAATACTAATTGGAACTTTTGTCTTCTAACAAGTCTGTCCTGCTGCTTTCAAACAAGCATATCTGAATTGCTATACTCCTGACCAAGAGTCTTTAAAAAGCAGACTAGAATTCTGCTATTTTCTCTTAGCTGTCCCGTCTTTTTTTTTCCTGTAGGACCACTTGACTATGCTTACAATAGAAATGACAAACTTACTGAAGTAATTTGGTATTTTTCACTACTCAAAACAGAGGTACAGTACCTGATTAAATCTTAAAGTATCTTCCCCAACCCTATCCCCACCATCATCTCCACCCCCTTCATCCACCACCCCTAGTCCCAACACTTTGCAAAGAAAAAAGTAGCCTGACATTCTAGAATGTTACTTGGTTAGTGAGGCCAGAGGGCTGCTACACCCCCCCTTTCTCTTTCTCTAACAAAATCTATGTCCATAGAATCCTTATATTATCCCAATTACTGGTGATGATTATATTTTTAAAGACGAAGTCTGCTGTTATCATTTTCAAGAGTGAAAGATTAAAGAACTGGCCAAAAGCATCATAAAAACAAAAGTCAAGATGCATCTCTCAGAAACAAGACTGTCTCGTTTATGTGGTTGGTTTTAGTTTTGTTTTTGTTTTAATCAAGCAAGCATCCGTCAATTTGTTATACTGTGGTGACTTGCATTCTGTGTGATATTGGCAGATATGCAACCAATATTTCAAATATAAGGAGATTCATTTATGGTAGACAAGTTTGAACAGAACTTCTGGAAAAGGATAGGAAGAAAGGCCTGGCAACCAACTTCTCTTTATTGTTGTTGTTAGAAGCTATCTAGTCAACCATAATTCATACCAACCCTGAGAACAACAGATCTGAACCTTGATTTATAATGTACCATGATCTCTGATATGATCAAGCCCAAAGACCTCTGGTGGCCTAGTGGATAAGGAGTTGCACCTTCAGTCCAAAGACAAGTAGTTCAAACTCATCAGCCTCTCAGAAGAAGAAAGCTGAGCAGTCTCCTGTCATGTGATTTACAGCCTCTGAAACCCTCTGGAGGGTCAGCTGTGAGTCAGTTCTCCCTTGATGGCACATAACAACAACATTGTTAAAGTCACTGTGCAAATCCAACTATTGAAGGTTTTCCTTTCTTTCTCCATATGTCTATCTTTTTTTTTTTTACCATCGTCTGCCTTATCTTTTTTTTTTTTACCATCGTCTGCCTTTTCCTAACAATTAGTTTTGCCTGACAACATGCCCAAAGTATTTGAGAGGATTTCACTAACCTTGTCTCTAAGTAGCACCCTGATTGCACTTCATTCAAGTTAGTACACTTATTTTTAATTTGGGCAGTCCATGGAATATTTGGTGTTATTCTCAAACACTACAAATCAAAGACATTTATTCTTCTTCTGTAATCCTTATTCACTGTCCAACTTTCATTTGCATAATAAACAATTGAGAATACCATGACTTGGAATAAGTGCACGTGGAATAAGTCTTTAAACTGATATTCTTGCTTTTTATCACTTTGGAGAGCTAATTTTTGGAGAGCAGATTTTTCCAAAGCAGCATATCTTTTGATTTCTTGACTACTGTTACCCTGGATGTTAATTGTCGATCCAAGTAAAATGAAATAGTTAAGCATTTCAATCTTTTCTCCTTCTATCATAATATTGCCTATTGAACTAATGGTGGGGATTTTTCTTTTCTTGATTTTGGGATGTAATTCAAATCCAAGTTTGTTACCTCTCAGTAGCAAGTACTTCAAGGTCTCTTCACTTTCTGCAAGGAAGGTTGTGTCATCTGCGTGATACAAGTTGTTGATGATTCTTCTTCCAATCCAAAACTTCTTGGTATTAGCCAACCAAACCTCTACAGATTACAGCAGAGTACCGTCCTATTTGTGGTTGCAAGACAAGCCCCCTAAGCACTGGAAACATGCAATGGCCACAGCAGTGGACTTGAGTGCACCACCAGTCCTGAAGACCACTTAGAACCAGGCAGCATCTCATTCTGTTGTGTAAGAGGTCAGCGAGCCAACTCAACAACAGCTAGCAACAGCACTGTTTTAATAATGCTAGCCTCTTTAAAATATTTTAGTGTAAAATTTGTTATTGCTGCTGTTGTTATGTGCCATCGAGTCACTTGCGACTCATAGCGACCCTATGTACAACAGCTCTAAACTCTGCTCTGTCCTGTGCCAATCGCACTGTCTCAAATACACCCATGCCAATTACCCCAGTAACTGAATCAATCTACCTCACAGAGAGCCTTTCCCTCCTACACCATCCCTCCAGCTTCCCAAGCATGATGTCCCTCTCTAAGGACCAGTCTCTCCTTACAACATGTCCAAAGTATGCCAGACAAAGCCCCAGAATCCTTGCCTCCAAGTAGCCGCCTGGTTTAACCCTCTCCAAGATGAATCCGTTTGTTTTCCTAGCAGTCCATGGTACCTTCAATACTCTTCTCCAGCACCACAGCTCAAAGGCATCAATCCTCCTTCTATCCTCCTTAGTCATTGTCCAACTCTCTGATGCATAACAAGTGATTGCAAAGACCATGGCCTATATCAGATGCACCTTGTTCTCCAGAGAGACACTGTTGCTCTTCAGTACTTTGGAGAGGTCCCTAACAGCAGACTTTCCCATCACAATATGCCTTCTAATTTCCTGGCTACTGGTGCCAAGAGTGTTGACTGTGGAGCCAAGCAAACTAAAGCTGTGAACAATCTCAATCTCCTCACTATCCATCCTGATGCTGCCAATTGGGCCAGTGGCGAGAATCGTTGTCTTCTTGACATTGAGCCTCAATCCATGTTGAAGACTGCAGTCTTTGACCCTCTGTAGCAAGCGCTTCAGGTCCTCCTCAGTTTCAGCAAGCAGGGTTGTGTCGTCTGCATAGAGACCAAAAATCTCATAGTTCTAAATCCATCAAAATGGAAAATTTAGTAATTGCAGAATCTTCTGTTACAGACATAAAGAAAATGTGTATGAAAGACTTCAAGTCGCTCTGGTGACCAGGGCACCCTGGTTACAGTCTTTAGGGGATTGCGTTGCTAACCCAAAGGCAGCACGTCTCTGGGGATTCTAACCACCAGCTGCTCCGCTGGGAAAGATAACATTCTCCTCCTGTGTGATTTACAGCTTCTGAATCTCTTTGGGGGTTATTTGTGAGTCAGTTCTAACTTCAAACCAACCTGGTGAAAAATAGATGGATCAATAGATAGATGATAGAAAGATGTATAGTGATAAAGACATAAATATAAATACAGCTATAAAAGAGCTCTGGTGACTTTGTAGTTGGAATCTGTCCTGAAATACCTAAGGCATGTTATGAATCCACCAGCTGCTCTGTGGAAGAAGGCAAAATCTTCCTGTGCCATTATTGCCTTTGAAAAGGGCTGGCAGGTCAGCTATGGGTCACTTCCAACTCAGTGGCATACAACAATAACTAGTGTCTTAAGCTTTGTCTGGTGTTCGGGTCCATTCCTGCTGATCTTATGGTCGCTCGTCAGACGCTATTGGCCAAAATGGTGAAGCAGATCAAAAGCGAGGCAGATTTTATGGCATACCTTAATGGTGCTAGAGAAAACCTCGTGGTAGTCAATTTCTCAGCCACATGGTGTGGGCCTTGCAAAATGATCCAGCTTTTTTCTCATTCCCCACCTGAACAGTATGGCAATGTGGTGTTTCTCGAAGTTGATGTGGATAACTGTCCAGATGTTGCTTCAGAGTGAAGTCAAATGCATGTCAATGGTTCAGTTTTATAAAAAGGGGCAAAAGGTGGGTGAATTTTCTGGTGCTAACAAGGAAAAGCTTGAAGCCACCATTAATGAACTGAGCTATTCGTATTTACTGAAAACCAGCTGTTAGCTGTTTAAAACTTTTTTCTCCCATTTTTATTTCTACAAAAAAAGAAAACTTCAGTATGAAGATTATATGCCTGATTACCATCTGATTATAAATGACAATAAAAATATTAATTCCACCTTTTAAAAATAACCAAACAAAAAACAACTAGTGTCTTAGTGATAATAAGTTGTGCTGCTAATCAAAGGTGGTGGTGGTTGCTGTTGTTAAATACTGTCAAGTCAAGTACAACTTTTAGCGACCCTATGAACAGTAGAGTTGAACCTTGTCCTATTTTGTGCCATACTTACATGCGTACAATCTCTGACATATTTGAGCTCATTGCTGCAGTCACTGTGTCAATCCACCTGGTTGAGAGTCTTCCTTTCTTTGACCATCCCTCCATCTCTCCAAGCATGATACCTTCTACGAGGTATAGTATCTCCTAGTAACATGTGAGATGACACATTATCATCTTTGCCTCCAAGGAACACCCTGGCTGCAACTTTTCTAAGATATATTTGTTTGTTCTTTTAACAGTCCATGGGATATTGAGTCCTCTTCTCCAACACCACAACTCAAAGGTATAATAAATTCTTCTTGGTTTGGATCTACCAACTCCTCCTCTGGAGAAAGATAGATAATCTCCTTCTATCCTATTAACTGCCTCTAAAATCTGCTGGTGGGTTAAGTATAGATCAATTCTCACTCAGAATTTATAAAAACAACAAATATGGACATAGATATAATAAGTTGTTCAAATCAAGACAGTAAACTATTGTTTGTGACACTCTAGTATCTATAGTACTAAGAGAAGGGATTGCCATTTTAATGCCACTTTGGAGACGAGAGATGGAATGCTTAGGGGACTGTAGGGGCTACAAAAGGAGACTGAATAACTCTTCACTTT